TAAGGGCCCTGTGTGAAGAGATGGGATTTGGATTCAGGTCCTTCTGGCTTTGAGGTAAGACTGCACAGAAAGCCAGTTTGGGACATGTCAGGCCCCTTCCTTTTTCTTCAGTAGCAAATGGTTCTAGTATGAACCTACTTCAGTCTCAGGAAGGGCAATGGAGGCCCATGAAAGGTCAGCCTTGACCACAATAACAAGAAATGTTTAACATACTCGCTGTGTGTCAGGCATTATCTAAAACCTGTGCTGCTCAGCAGGAAAACCACTAGCCATGTATGGCTACCAAGTACTTGTAATGCATCTTACCTGAAAGAAAATGTGTTCTAAGTATGAAAAACATGCTTGATTTCAGAGATATAATACAAAAAGAATGAATCTGTCCTTACATGGATTGCATGTTTAAATGAGCATCTTAGACTTACTACTAGATTAAGTAAAATATTATCAAACTACAGCTTTAGTTTTACCTTTTCAACGCAAGTACTGAAAACTTTCCAGTTACACACCTTTATAATTCTATAGGACAGTGCTACTCTAGAGTGTTCTCATGTGGTAATTGGAGTCTTCTCAATGTTTCCATAGCAGATAATGTGACCCGTGATAGATCCCACAGTGGTAAGCCCATACCTCAGAGAGGATGTCCATAAGGGCCTTCAGGGGCTGACTGTGTAAGTGGTTGTAGTGCTGGGCCAAGGTTTGCAGCAGCTTTACTGACTTCAGCAGGGCCTCCTGGTCCTGGTATATAGAGGGCAGAGGGCGTGTTAAATGTTACTGTGCCCACCCCACTTCCAAGTTAGTCCATGTGCCCCCTGTATCCCCAAAGCCTTTACCTTTACCAGCCGGCCAGACTGAAAGAGGGCTAGCACCCCAAACAGGTTTGCAAAGAGAGCAGATCTCATCATTGCCTAGAAAAGGATTCCAGACCTAGGTGAGAAGAGCGCAAATGCTTTCCATCCCCCCATCCCTTCACCCAGAGTGAGAGCGAGATTGTTGACTTCCCTAGGGACGGCTCACCTTCTTCACCTTCTCCAGATCATATTTTTCTTGTATCTGTTGCAGGATGCTGCACAAAGGGATGTCTTCAAAAGACTGTAACAGCTGCCAGGAGTAGGGGCGGGAGGAAGAAAGGGGCTCAGCAGGGAGGCCCAGCTATGTGCCACCAGACACCAACCTCCATTCTTCCTTCAACTTTTCCCAGGAAACCCTGGCTCCAGAGTCTCACCCCAAGGATGCCTGAGGATGGACTACCACGGCTCAAATGTAATTGAATCTTGCTTCCCTGCCCCAGCCCCACCAGGGATTCAGAAGGTAGGTCTATAGTGGCTATGCCCCTTAGGTTGCTTGCCTGTGATTCCCAGACAACCCACCCCATTCTCACCACCTGCTCTGAGCCTCTTTAGGCTGATCCTAAAGAAGTAAGTTTTTACTCTTTTGTACAAGTTTCTCAGAGAATGGCCCATGATCAGCTGAAATCCCTCATGTGGCCAGGGCGCTGAGCTTTGCTGGAGTCCACTCCAAAATTTCCCGATCCCAGCAGCCACATCTAAGAGGTATGCTGCTAATTTAAGTATCAAAGGTACTCAGTATGCTGGGGATGGGGGCAGATAGGGAGTTCGAGGAAAGCCTGGGCAACACAGTCAGGCCCGGGTATCAAAAACATTAAAGAAAACTTGTTCAAATTTTTATTCCACCTGCCCGAATTTCTTCCTAGCCAGGCCTTGCTCACACTAGCTCCATGTGAGGATGCCCTGGGCTTCTCATTCAGACGGCCCCCTTTCCTGCAGCGGAGACACCTGTTCTCATTGCACCCCACCACTCTGCCCAGGAGCCCCGCCTCACCTGTGCCAGAGCCAGACTGAAGCACGGCCGAGCGGTTTCTCTCCCCGTCCCCAGTCCAGTGATTAGGCGCTTCAGGGCATACTTCATCTCAGATCCCTAAGGAACCAAAGCGTTCCCCGTGTGGAGCAGTGACAAAAGGGCCCGCCCTCACCCTCCTTAGCACCAGGGTCGCTACCACAGGTCCCTGTCCCAAATCTCGGGGCCCGAGGCAGCTTCCTAGCCGGGACTTCCGCGGCGCGCTGCGCCAGGCCCCGCCACCATACCGTCGGCCTGGTGCGCAGGTAATCCAGCAGTTTCTCGGTGGCCTCAAGCCGCGTCTCCTGATGCGGCTTTGCAATGTCCCAGAAGAAGTCCAAGAACTCGCGGCTATGCTCCAGCAGGCCATGGCGGTCGGCCTGCGTCGCATCTTGGGTAGAAACAGGCTCCGCCACATCGCAACTCTTGATCTCCGCCATGCTCCACGGAACACGTGGGGTCGGAAGACAGCAGCTTCCAGGTCAGGCCTCGGCGCAGGCGTACTGGGTCGGCCCGCCTACGGGCCGGGGCGGGGCCTGCCGGGCCGGGGCGGGGCCAGAGAAGGGCCAGAGTTTTCCGCTCCCTGAGTGGAAAACCCTCAGTTCGTTCCTCTCTTTTTCAGCATACGGCATGGGTTCCTGCATATCCCACTCGGAAAATAGGTCCAAGTGAGGGCGATCGATCCATCTCGTCCCAGAGCGGCCCCTGCGAGCATTGAGCCATTCAACAATTATTGAGCTCTACTGGGTGCTGTGCACCGTGCTGAGCCGGGCCGCGGGCTGGAACAAAGCCATCAATTAGATGTACTTTCTTTCTAATGGGAGGAGGCGGCTGAGAACAAGTAGTCAAATACACTCACAAAGATAACTATGGAAAAAAGAAAAGAAGAAGAAGGAATGTAGGAGGTCAGAGGCAGCTTTTTAAATTTTGAAGGGTGTGAATACAATGCCCGTTAAAAAATCTTGCTAATTGAAAAGAATTCAGTAGGTTCTAAAATACTGATTTGAGGGAGTGGTCAGTGACCGGGAGGTGACTTGTGGGCTGACGTGAATGACAAGAAGAACCCATTCTCCCCTAGGGCAAAGATCTAGGAGGGGCAAAGGACATTGCTGCTACAGAAACCCTAGAGATGAAGGGGAGGAGGCTGGTAGAGGGTGGGGGTGGGGTTCAGAGAAGCAAGCCCCTACAGCACCCCAGGCCAGGATCAGGAGTTTGGATTTCATTCTGAGTGTGCTGGGAGGTCCCTGGAGAGTTTCACATCATATTTGCATTTTAAAAAGATTATCTGGCTGCTGTGTGTGGGATGGATTGCAGGCAAAGGTAGAAGAAGCAGGAAGATGGAAGATGCGTGGATTAAACCATTGTGATATGAAAACAGATCAGATTTGGGCTAATTAGAAGTTGGTTGGAGTGGGGATTGGAGGAGGTGATGGGTTGGGTGTCAGGGAAGAGGAATAGACAGGGATGCCAGGTTTGGGGCTAAAATAACTAGATAGATTTTGGTACATTACTAAGTTGGGAGATAAAGATTTTTTTTTTTCCTGAGGGGGAGATAGAGATGGTGGGATGGAGAGTTCTATTAAATCAGAGTTGCTCTTTACAATGGCAGAGAAGGGGGTGGATTCTGGCCACCCCTGCTTCTTGGCTTGGAAAGGGTCGTATCTGAAGGCAGACTCAAAGATAGGTCGTCAGTCAGAATGAAGGCCAATTTGGATCTGGGAAGTTGGAGAGGGATTGAAATGCTAATGCCTTCAGAGCCCTTCCTCCATCCTATCAAGATAACCAGCTCCCGGGTTGGGGATATAGTTGATGGAGCACTTGCCTTGGCGTGTACTAGGCCCTGGGTTCAATCCCAACACCACACACACACACACACACACACACACACACCCACCCACAAAAAAATCTGCCCCTGCTCCAACCTATTGCGAAGGTAACCTTCTCCCTCCCAGGAGAACTCTATGTTATTCCTCTTTAAATAAACCCTACTTCAAATGCTTGTCTTGGCATGCTTCTCTAATGTTATACTTCAACACGTGAGGGAGCAGCACTCAGCACCAATAAACGGTGGTATCATATTCAGAGAGACCCCAGTCCTAGAGAGAAGGTCTGGGCCAAGCTTGACCCTTGAATACCATACACCCAGCTTCAGTCCCCTGGTAACCAGTTCCCTGGGACACCTCCTACTTACCCTTGTGAAGCCAGATTTAAAGACAGGTAGTTAGTGTAGCTAGGTAAGTCAGGTCTGCTGGAGTCCCATTTGAGTTAGGAAACTGCCCCTGAGAGATTGAAATGTTAAGGTCTCCAAAGCCCTGCCTCTAGTGCCCATCCTAAAGAATTGTTAATGAGCTGGGCACAGGGGTGCATGCCTGTAATCCCAGCAGTTTGGGAGGCTGAGGCAGGAGGATCATGAGTTCAAAGCCAGCTTCAGCAAAAGCGGGGAGCTAAGCAACTCGGTGAGACCCTGTCTCTAAATAAAATATAAAATAGGGCTGGGGATGTGGCTTAGTGGTGGAGTGCCCCTCAGTTCAATCCCTGGTATATTTAAAAAAAAAAAATAAAGAAAGAAATAATTGTTAATGAAGCAACTCCTGAGGGGAATTGCTAATTAATTCCCCTGGGCCCCCTTTCCTGCCTGAATCACTTCTCTCTGGCCCCTCCAGCGTACCTGTTTCCCAGCTTTTGGCCTTCCCACTGGCAACCCCCTCCTCCCATTACATACACAGGATGAGGGGAAATGAACAAGATAAAGGAGAGGAATGTAAAAGGACAAAGAAAACTTTAGATGTATAAAAGGGTTGCCTTTTGGGGTCCCCTTCTTCCACCTGGGAGAAATCTGTTCTACTACTCTTTAAATGAAGCTTCTTACTTTCTACTCCACACTTACCTTGCTGTGCTTCTGCAGGACTCAAGGTAACCGGTAACCCTGCAAACCCTGCCCCACTCTTGTCTGTTCTAGCAAGCAAACTTAAAAAGATTTGCCTTGCATGTCTGGTGCCCCAGGAAGCACGAGGTAAGCAGAGCAAGAAAAGCTTTCAGACATCCTTCCTGGATGTTGGTCACCTGTGCCGTCATGGGGGAAACTCTGAAATCAGGTGCCTCCAAGGCAGATGGAAAATTAATCAAAAAGCAGGAATGGCACTTGGTACCCTGGAGACTTGATGTTTATTTATTTTCAATCCAGTTGAAGAAGATCAGCAGAGGATGGCTATGGAGGGGAAGCCAGAGATACCAGCAGGATCCTGAGTACCGCCTGCTCTATCCCATGAAGCCCAGAGCTTAGTTAGGGGCTTGGTATTCTTCCATTTGTCTTTCCCAGAGGTGATATGCACTCAAGAGCTAGGCCCAGGACCTGATGCTTTTTCCTCATTATCATCAGGCTCTATATCTGATTTTTTAAAAAGCCAGAAATTCCGTCCAGTGAGCATGCTATGAAGAGTGATCCAGCTTGTTCCGGATACCAGAGCTTGAGCTCAGGTAACTGACCAGTCCAGAGTTTGGGGGATGAGCCAACAATGGCACATAATAGATGCACAGTCTCTATGCACCCCATTGTTGCCGAGTCTGCTCTGCTCCTGCTCTCAGACTTGAGACAACTCTGTCTCCCATCAGACTCCTGCCCCTCCATTAGAACCCCTCGAAGGGGCAGCAGCCACTAGGGACACTGGAGACATGGGAGTGTTCTGCATGGGTGGCCACCTGGAGTAGGGTCCCTTGGCCACAAGTGCTGGAACTCTCTGTTGGTCCTTGTTGGGGCTGCTGCTGGTGTTGGGTATGGGTTTGCGGCCTTGTGAGATGGCTGAGCAAGGCACGAGTCATGGCTCTGGCCATCTTGGGGTTTCCTGAGGCCACCAGTCCCATCACATCAGCTTCTGTGTCATCCGGACTGACACGGAGAACGAGGGGGCAGGCCCAGGCACTAGTTGCAGACCTGTCCACTAGATCGCTAAGCAGAACCCCACTGCTTGGAGACACATGTCCAGACCCAAAGGAGCTGTTGAGTGAGGAGGTGAGAAGGAGCATAGCGCCGCTGCTGTCCACGGTGGCCAGGATGCTACTCACAGGGGTCACAGCAGTTTGCAGGAGGGGTGGGCAGGGGTCAGGGTGGGGTTCTCCAGAGTGCAGGGCTGCCTTCAGTAGTGCCAACAGTTCTGGGCCAGCTGAGGGACCAGGGGTGGTGAATAGAGTGCCTTGGGCCATAGAAAACTGCAGTGCTGGCACCAAGGTGGGCATGGGCCTAGCTGAGGGTTCCTCCAGCCCCAGATCTCTGGCCAGCAAACTCAGTAGTTCATCTCCAGCAAGGGCTGGAGTAGGGGTGAGTGCTGCCCTGCCTAGCACAGCTGCCAGCTTTGGGTTGGTGGCTCGGTCCCCAAGGCCCAGGGGGGTCCCGTCAGCATGGCAGAACAGTGGACACAGGCCCTTTGTGCCCTGGGTTGCTAGAGCCCTGGCCAGGGGTTCGTCCACCAGGAAGCCTTCTTGAGCCAGCATGGTTGGACCCATCAGCAGGCGTGACCAAGGCAGGTGGCCGAAGTGTGCATGAAGCAAATGCAGGGCAGGCAGAGCAGTGGGCAGCCCCAGGCCAGGGGCCAGGGTCTGGGCTGGGCCTGACATCAGAGCTGTTGTGTTTGCTGAGGAGCTATTATGGAAGAGGCCCCAGAACATGGCACCTGGCAGGAGATAAAGGGGTAACAAAGCGGTCAGGGGCGCTGGCCAGGACTGGGCTCAGAGCCACTCAGCATCCTCAGGTGAAAGGTTACTGACTGATCCATGAGCCTGGGGATGTATTATCCTTAAAAGGAGGACAAAAAGACACCACATCCCTAGAACATTCCTTTAATTTCCAGGAACCCCACCAGGTCAAGGCAACTAGAAGAGTGGGCTCTGGTCAGGAATGCCCAGATAAACTAGAAGGACATAAACTTTCTGTCGTGTATGCTGGGAACTAGGGTAAGTTAGTATGAGCTGAAAAAAAGCTGGGTTTTGTTTTGGACATGTGCCAGGACAGCTGCTCCCGGGGACGCTGGTCATACAAACAGCAAAGCAACTACTACTTCTGCAACCCAACCTATAAAATTGCCCTTTTGGAAACTGGGACACATCAGGGCATTGTGGAGAGGGATGTACTTGTTCAAGGAGGCCACCTCTGGATAAAGTATCACAAGAGGAAAGAGATGGTACATTCAGGTGAGGTGTCGAAGGCACTGTGTGGAGCAGAGGAACACCTGCCCCACCCATCGCCAATGGACCTTCCTAGAAGCATTTCTCAATGAACCCCATATCTCCTATCCCCATATTGTCTTTCTTGGGCTCTTGACCTAGCCCACTGCCCTAGCACAACTGGGTAGGTAGACAGTACACCTGGGGTCAAGGTTATAAAGACCTGGGTTCAAGGGTCACAGCCTAGGGTTGAAGCCAGTCACATTACTTTCAAACTACAGAAAACAGAACAGTGCTGTTGGCTAGCTAGCCTTGAGGTCAAGGCCACTGACTGCCTGAATTTCAGGTCACAGCCCAGGGCCCTGATTGAGTGTTGCTGTCAGGGTCATGGGTCACTGACCTAGCCCTGTGGCATGAGGGTGCACCACTGCCAGACACAGAGAGGCTCCAACTCCAGCATCCACGACATTGCCCCCAGCAGCAAGTAGCTCTTGGCCCAGGTGGGAGCACGTGGCTGCAGTAAGGAAGGGATTGTTATGGGGGAGTGATGGGGACAAGTGACCCCTGACCCCTCCCCTCCCAGCACAGACCTGCAGGGCTGATGATGGCACCGTGATGGTATACTCCAGTGGGATGGGAGTGTACGCTGGCTGGAGGGGCCGCCACCGAGCCAAACCTTCCCGTCAAGCTGCCCCTCCGTTGGAACTGCCTCACAGCCAGGGAGCAGCTAACAGCCAGCAGCAGCAGAGCTGCCACCAGCCGGGCCCAGGCTCCGGGAAGCCCATCAACCTTGTTCCTGCAGAGACGGGTGTTCTGAGCTGGGGCTGAGGCAGGGGGATACCAAAGAATCCCAAGAGAACACAGGGAATGTTTCCCCAAAGGGTTTGATTTTGCAAGAGTCCAAGTTTGCCAAGAAGAGCAAGGCTTCCAGGCAGAGGGCTCAGCATGGGCAAAGACCCAGAGAGGGAAAGAGCTGGGGAATCTGTGGCCTGCTCTGGAGGGATTGTCTGTAGCAGGGTTGGAGAGGCAGGGGCCAGCCAGTTTGGAGAGAAGCCTGAAGGGGCTTGGCAGGCAGGAGAGAAGGCTGAAGAGCAGGGGCCAGCCAGGTGTAGCCCAGCCCTAATCCGTCCAGCAGGTGTGTGTGTTGGGGGGGGCGGTGGCTAGGGGCTGGGAACCTAAGACAGCCACGGATAGGACAGGGACTGGCTTGTACAGATGTCCCTTTGGACTCATAGACTTCTGACTGGTTCAGCGGGGTCTGGGGCTGCAGCCTGGGACCCCCCTCCCCCACTCATCCAGAAAGTCCCTGAAGCTGAGCCAAGCTTGAGCTGGCCCTGTTTGCCCTGCTTCAGGGTCCCAGAGAGAGGAACTTGACAGCCTCCAGTCTGAGGATCAGGGATCCACACCCCTCCCCAACTCACCCAGGGGCATCCAGGGGCCTCCTGAGGTAGAGAACCAGGGACTCTGATGTCTCCTCCTCTTCCTCCTCCAGCTCCTCCTCCTCCTCTTCCTCTGACTCCATGTTTGGCTCCCAGATTTGCAGCTTTTGATAGAGCACAGGCTCTGCCGAGGCTTCCATGGCCCCTGAGACAACCCAACCGTCGTCCTGCCAGCCTTCCGGGTTGAAACTAGGAGGCACTGCTCAGCGAGGCGGGCAGAAGGTGCAGTGGCCTTGGGGAAGGGTGGTGGAGGAATCTAGAACAGGTCTGGGCAGGGTGGGGCCAGGGAAACTGCGGGTGAGCTTGTCCCATTAGGGCATAGGGACTCTCATGACAGGTTCCCAGTGAGGCTGCCTGTCAGGACCTCAGCTCAGCAAGGTCAAGGAGCCTAGCCCCAAAGCCACGGACGTTGGAAGGGACATCCAAAGGCCTCTTTCTCTTGGGGGAGCAGCCCCGAGATTCCTGGCTTGCTCCAGACTCTAGGGACTGAGGACTCAGTAACTAAGGTTACTTGGCGGCCTGGGTGGTGGCTCAGCCTAGGACCCGGTCACGTGTGGGGGGGTGTTGTCTCCAGGTGGGGGTGTGGTCTCCAGGTGGGAACAAGGCTCTGAGGTCTGGGAAAAAACTTGGGCGGTGAAGGCAAAACCCGGGGCATGTCATGTGACTCTTGTCCAGCAGGCGGCGCCACAGACCTCTGTGGGAAGCTGCAGCCTGGAAACCACGTTTCCAAGCTCCTTCCCTCCAGGATTCACATCAAGGACTCGGTCCAAGATAAACAGCGGTATTTGTAACAGCCCCACATTAGACATTGTCCAAACACCCTTTGTCAACAGAACGAATGGTGTAAGTCATGTCAATGGGATGCTCTGCAACAGTGAGAAAGAGCGATCTACAATTATGTGCAATAAAATATATGGATCTTAAGAAACATGATGATGAGTGACAGAAGCTAGCCAAGAAAAGGCGCAGCAGTATATGCTTTCCTTTATTTAAAGCACAAAACCAGGAAAACTCATCTGCCGTTGGAAGTCACAGAGTGACTGGAGGAGGGAAGCTGGTGATGTCTATTTCTATTCTATTTTTTTTTTTTATTTTGGAAAAGTTACATGTGTTTATTTAATAAAAAGTTTAATACGAAAATGTACATGGCCTAATTTGTATGTCATAGTAAAACAGGACCTTTGGAAAAGGGACATGGATTCCTCCGCCATTCTTTATCCTCATTCCAAGGCGTTTAACAGGGTGGAATTCTTCCTTCCTATTACCACTATTTCGGTACTGTTCTGTTGAGCATTAGTTGCCATCTCTGCACATTCATCTGTCACAAAATTCATAAAGGAATAAAATCCCCCAAATATTTCTTGGACATGTCTGCCACCATTAAACTTCAGTGAGAACTTCTTGTCCATCAAGTTTTTACCTCTGCAGGTGGCTTGATGGGCTCAGAGTAAATGTCTGAATCTTAATCCTGGGGTTGGTGACATGGATGTGCTGATTATGAAGGTACATCAGGAGGTACATTTATGAACCTGCAATTTTCTGTATACTGTATTTTAATTACAAAGTAAACAACAAAGCTCATGTATATTCTACATTAAAACAATAGCCATATCTCGTAGAGGTTGAGTGGAATGGTGGTTACCAGGGGCTGGGGAGAGCAGGGTGGGAGGGAGGGGAAGGGCTGATGGGTGGGTACTAAGTGACAGAAAAGGAGAAAGAAGCTCTGGGCTGCTATTGTACAGTGTGGGGATTATAGACAATAATTGTACACTGTACATTTCAAAAAGCTAGAAGAAGTGATTTTGTACATTTTCATTATAAAGAGATGATAAATAGGCTAGGCATAGTGGCACACATCTGTAATCCCAGCAGCTCAGGAGGCTGAGGCAGGAGGACTGCACGTTCAAAGCCAGCTTCATCAATTTAGCAAGGCCCTAAGCAAATTAGCCAGACCCTGTCTCCAAATAAAAAAATTAAACAAAAGGGCTGGAGATGTGGCTCAGTGATTGAATTCCTCTGGGTTCAATCCCCGGTAGAGTGAGGGAGAGGGAGAGGGAGAGGGAGGGAGTGAGGGAGAGAGGGAAAGATGCATGCTAAATAAAGAGATAGATATGTTTAATTTGATATTTATTTATTTATTTATGGCACTAGGGACTGACTGAGGGGTACTTTACCACTGAGTTCCCCTCCCAGGCCTTTTTATTTATTTGTTTTTTTGAGACAGGGTCTTGTTAAGTTGCTTAGGGCCTCACTAAGTTGTTGAGGCTGGGCTCAAACTTGTGATCCTCCTGTCTCAGCCTCTTGAGGTTACAGGCATGTGCCACTGTGCCTGGCTCTTTAATCAGATTTAAATGTTAGACAATATATACATGCATCCAAAACATTCTACAGCACCCCAATAATATTTACAATTTTTGGTACAAATTAATAAATAAAAAGTAACAAAATGAAGACAACCAGCACAAAATAATCCTTTGATTTCACATGCTTCTCCAGTCATTTTTTTTTTTCTCTTGGCATCCTCAAGTACAGGGGTTCTGTAACTTTTGTGTGTATCAGAATCACCAGGGAGCTTGCAAAATTGAATTGCTGCTGAGCAGGGTGCCCACTGGTGATCACAGTGACTATGGAGACTGAAGCAAGAAGATTGCAAGTTCAAAGCTAGCCTCAGCAATTTAGGGAGATCCTAAGAAACTTAACAAGACCTGTTTCAGGACAATTTTTTTAAAAAGAAAAGAAAAAGGCTGGGGATCATGTGGCTCAGTGGTTAAGCACCACTGGATTCAATCCCCATAACCAAACCAAACCAAAACAAACCAATAAAAACATTTAAAGCACATAGGGTAAGGCTTGGTAAAGAACAGACCTCCCAAAAATGAGTTCTTTCCTTATTTCCTCTCTGCTCTTCAGGCCTCAGTCTCCCCCATGCTAAATGGTATGGATAATCTTTACTCCTGAAACTAACTTTTTCTCTCTCTCTGTCACACACACAAGAGACTGAGTCTGAAGTGTAAGGCTATAGATTGATTCATTTTTCTTATTCTTTTTTTTAAAAAAAATCCTAATGGCCATAACTGCACATTAGGGCCACCTGGAAAACTTAAAAAAAAATCCTAATACCTAGGCAGATCAATTAAATAACCAAAATCAGACTCTGTGGTTTGGAGATTCATCAACATCTTTAAAAATCTTCCTGGGCATTTTCAGTGTGCAGGTGTGGCTGAGAATCACTGCCTTATCTAACTCCCTAGTCTGGGAATTAGATAAGGCAGATAATCTGGAATCACCTGTTGTGTTTAAAAAAATCACCAACATCCGGGTTCCTCTCTGTCTCCCAGTCCCACACCAACTGAATTTGAATCAATATCTCTGGAAACAAAAGCCGGTGATTATGATAGTTTTAAAGCTCCCCTGGTGGTTGTTATTGGTATTTGGGAGATACCAATAATAGCAGCCTATAATATCCTCACAGATGGATATGGCAGATACTCTCCGAGTACCTAATCTAAGGCACCTGTGCTGGGGAAGACCATGAGGAGCCTGGGGAACAGCTGAAGGATGGATGTCCCTCAGTCCACAGAACATGTCCTCTAGCCCTGGTGGCTCCTGCTAACCAGAAAGGGATCCCAGAGATGGGAAAGATAAGGACCCAGCTGTCAGCATTTCTACAATCCCCTGGAACTCCAGAAGGGAATTTCCTGCTCAGCTCTCCAGGTCATATCTCAGATCTGCTAAGTGTGAGAGTATTTGTGTGGAAGCTTTTCCCTAGGTTGACTTTATAATTGGCCCCCATGGAGCATGCTAGGACTTGACTCTAATGGTAGCCATGGAGACAAGGTAGAATTTGGCCTTTCATTTCTCTGATTTGACCAGAATTTTTAGAAAAATCACTCCAGGGGATTCCAGTTGCAGAAACCACAGCATGGGGTTTTTAAGCAATCAGGACTACAGATGACAGGGGAGGTGGAATTAGAATGAGTAGACGCATTTGCTAGGATAAGTGCCCACTTGGGAAATGGAAATACCCACATCTTTCAGGGATTGTTGGATGTTGGCTCTGAACTAGTGATTTCTGAAGGCCACTGTCGTTCATTAGTTAGAATGAGAACTCTGATCATTGATAAAGGAGCATCTATATGTACATCTATATGTACTTCATGGTAGGTTTGATGGAATTCTGAACCCATCCTGTGGCTATTTCCACACTATGAGAATGTGGTTGGAAAAAATATTCCTTGCATTAATTATAATCTTTGCATCATTTCTCCAACTCATAGAATAAGAGATTTTAACATAATAAGAGCCAAGTGGAAACCTCAGGAGGGCTCCCTCTATAAGAGCAATAGAAAACCAAAATCAATACTGCTTTTTTGGAGGAATTGCAAAAATGCATGCTGCCATTAAACACTTGAAAGACAAAAGAGTACTGATTGCTCTCATATTTCAACTTAATGTAGTGGTCTGTATAATGCAGAAGATAGGTATTGAAAAAGAACTGTAGATACAGTAAAAACAGAAAACTCAAATTGCAGCTGCTATCCCAGGTATTTCTTTGTTGGGAAAAACCAACACAGCCCATGATGAACATTTTGTTCTTGATCCTGATAATCAGAGAGTCCAGAAGGTATTTGTTTTTACCTAGTAGGGTCAGCAGTACACTTTGCTGGTATTCCTTCAGAGTCATGGCACCACAGTTCTACAGCACAATGTCAGGGATACAAACTGTGGCAGCTGATTCTCAGATGAGGTGGAGACTGTGGTGCCCTCTCCAGACATTTCTACAGTGTGATTCTGACTACGGTCCTGGCTGCATAACTTCTGAGCCAGTTCCCCAATAGCCCACCATCCATTTTCTGTGCCCACCGAAATTTCATATATTTATTTTCTACTTAAGTCCTGCAGAAATGTCTTTTGCTTACAATTAATAATGCCAATGAATGCACATACTTCTAGGAGTCCCTGGAGGGTAGCAAATGTCATCTGCAACTTGAAGTGGGAGCACAATGTAGTGCAGACACTGGCTCTCAGTCTCTAAAACTTCAAGAGGGCAAGAAAGACATTTGTGTGGTCCTGACCCTGCTGTTACCTAGGAAGTAGTCTTAGACCCAGACTTAGAATGGAGGAAGCTCAATTCCAGTAAGAGGTCATTTATCACTTAGTAAATTTCCTTTCTTTCTTTCTAAGGCTAGTGCTCTACCACTGAGACATCTCCCCAGACACCATTTAAAAAATGTTTTGAGACAGGGTCTCACTAAGTTGCCTAGGCTAACTTTGAATTTACAATCCTCCTGCCTCAGCCTCCTGAGTAGCTGGGATTACAGGCATCTGCTACCATACCCAGCCCCCCCCCACCCCCGAAATATTTCTAAAGCAGAAAGGACAAACTCTAAAGTGCCTGTGGTGTTGTTTTCATGGTAGCATCTAGTTCTTTATTCATTTCTTTTATCAAAAGCATTCCAATTGGCTTCAGGTACCAG